CTTGGACGGAAAGGCGCAAGGCGGCTCAGTTCCAACAAACAAGGCCTGTCCCAATTTCCAAGGCGGAAATCAAACTAGTAAGGATCGGTTCTCTGGGCAAGCTTTTTTGACATGTTCCGACGAGGACGGGACAGGCAAGCAAACAAGCGTCTGGTCTGGTGATGGGCGGCTGCTCGACGAGGATAGCTGCAAGTGGGGACCTTGAGCGTCGGGTATGGGGTTGGTTACTTTAAAGAGCAACAACACCATACACAATAGAGATGAGATGTGACGTGGGGAGTAGTAGATCTAAGCTTGTGCTTTTGCCTCGCAGCACTGCGGGCGACTGAGAAAGGGATGGGGGCCGCCGTTGCGGCAGCGGATGTCGGCGAAGGCGGGGAACGGAACTCAATGAGAGAGACAGGTAGGGACAGGACGGCGGCGACTGGCGAGGATGAGGAGAGGACAGAGAGAAGAGAGCGGCGAGCCTGGCCGAGTGAGGGAGGGAACGTCGAGACTTTGATCGGATATGGGACTGGCGGCCAGGCCGGGCCAGGCCAGGCACCTTCGATTTGGGCCAACAGAAGACCACCTGCGCCTAACGGGAGCCCGTTCACACATCACTCAACTCAGGTCAGGTCACTTGTCAGGGACGGGGGGGAATTGGGATGGAGGAGGATTGGAGCCCTCGCCCGCCCGCCTGCTGCCCGCTCACCCGCTCGCTCGCTCTCAGCGAGTACGTAGGCAGGGTGGTCGCCCGAGTCGAGTAGAGTCGGCCGGCGGGCTGTCCCTGAGTCTTGTCCTCGCGCGACAAAGATGCACAGCGGGGGCCAAGAGAGGGTCGGGGATTCAGACGGGGACAGGGGGGTGTGGCCGAGAGGAGAGTCGGTAGGGCAGGGGCCTTGACTTTGATGGGCGCCCCCCGTTGTCTGGATCTGGGATGGATCAAGTTGGGTTTGGGGAATTCTTGAGGGGCTCAAGTCTAGGGGGCGTGTGGGTGGTAACTCGGGTGCACCAAGACTACTGCAACAGGAGCATCGCTGGTCTGGAGAAAAGAGTGCCAGGCGAGACGAGGCGAGGCCCTTACTTTTCGTTCCAACAGGCAACATGCAGAGCGGTTTTTTTTTTTTTTTTCTCTTACTTCCCGCCATCAACATGGCAGAATGAAACAGGCCGAGGAGATGAAGATACCCCGAAGATACGCCCGTATGCACGGCATGGGGGCCCAAAAGGACGGCGGCGACGGCGCTACTGGTTCCTCTGCGCGTATGGACATGAAGAGTGTCATCTCATAGTACATACATGCTGCCCTGCGTACGGCAACGCATGACATGACCCTCTGTCTGTTCGCCGCTCAACACCTTGACATCCTGCTTCAATGTCTCTTGTGTGTGGAGTAGTAATAAGCGAGCGGGAACTCCTCAGTGGAGGCAATCCTCCGTCAACGTCAGCGCGATTGCGACTTCAACTGAGCAGAGGTCGGCGTCGGCGCTTCTGGTCACCGATGGTGTGCTTCATGGGGTGGTTTTGAGGTAGGCATTGCTGCTGCCGCGCTGATGAGATGATGAGAAATTTCCGCTTGGCAAAACGGACGGTTCCTCTGATATGCTGGATGCCACAGATGGAAATCAATTGGACGGGCCTCGTCCTGAAGAAAGCGGTGGCCAAAACCGAGGAGCTGTCAGGACTGCAGCCCACAAGCTGCAGATTAGACGTTGAACGGCTGAACAGACGTGTATGTACCTGTCTTATCGCCGGCGGGAGGAATGTCAGCTAGTTGTCAAAGTTCAGGGCCACGAGTCCGCAACCACACCAAACGAGCCGCACGGTCGAAGCTGGTGTTAGCGCAGCGCCTTTCTGGGGGCATTGAGGAGTCTGCGTGTCAGGCATACGTTTGTGTGCGAGCGTGTGCGAGCACAATGTGACGAAGCCGCCGCAGTAGACGATGACCAATCTTTCGCTTGAAAAGGCTGCAAGGGTAGGTGAGGTAGCCTTCTCCCCTCGTATCACGCAAATAATGCCACGCACAGCGGAGTTGTTGATGCGGTGGTGTTGCAAGACTTTTCTTGCAGCAAGATTTGCGCAGACAGACGATGCGGTTGTCGTGGAGCTGTGATAATTATTGCAAGCCTCCAAGCCAGTGGCGCCGCTGCTAGCGTTGTATTGAAAAGCAAGAGGACGCGAGACAACACATGGCTTGCTGGCTCCGTCGCCCTATGGCCCTGTAGCTCTTCTGATGCATGCGAGGCACCCGGTGGGCGGGCATCAGACGCAGAAATGCTCGCTGTGTCTTTGGCGGAGGGTGGCCATCCAATGCCTTTGGCTGGACCGTCTGGCTAGACCGGGCTGGCCCCTCGCTGAGCCCGCGGCGATGGTGAGCACGTAGGGCGGGCGAGGCTTGGAGAACAGATGGGAGCTAAGGTGCTGATTGCCACCTGGGGTTAGCAATGTCTTGGGTCTGGAGGTGGGTGAAGACCATTCGCCATGGATCTGGTCGCGCTCCCGTCTCGATCGAGAGATCCGATGTCGATTGGAATGTCACCGAGAGCACGGCACGGGAGCGATGCTTCTCGAATTGGTCACCATTCCTCCTAGCAGGACACCCGTATGGGCCGTTTAAGATGTTGTCGATTTGTGATTATACTCTCGGTTGTCTTGCGGGAAGTGGCGGTTTGGGCGCGGCCGTTTTTTCTTCTCGATGGGTCGCGATGCTGGATACCGGAACCTACTTGCAAGGAGCGTTTTGAGAAGAAGTCTGATCTGCATGCCCAAAGCTAAATATCGGGAGTCAGTGTCGAATATTGGAGATTGGTGGTGTGGTCGTGAGGAGAAGCTGAGCTGCATCGTACATGATGCAATGCGGTGCGGAGTGAGGTGAAGATGAGGTACGCAGGCGACGAGGGGTAGGTAGTAGACGATGGGTATCTGACTTGTCGATGTTTTTATTGAGGCGGAAAGGAAGATTCATTGAGGAAAGCGCAAGAAATAATAGAGTATCTTCGTTTCTGCCACAGCCGGCAGACTGATGTGGTAGGTGCAATCCATGGGCTGCTCACCGAGGCACGCTTTCCTCGCTTATCTTGCTCACCTTAGTGTCACCGCATGCATGACCTCTAAGTGAATACTCTCAGATATGAATATATGCATTTAGGTGAGAAGAGGAAAACATTTCTTGTTCCTCTCTGACGACAGCGAAATAATACTCTTTCTCCTTCATGCTGTACCATCATCACTCAACCACGGTTGATCTCTCGACACACGACATCCTATGGACGAAAATGGCAAACCGAAGTGCCAGCATTGCATCGGATCGATGTCCGGGCCGGACTTGGTGCAGCACCTCCCTGTATCTACCCGAGTCCCGATGCAGTCACAATTGGTCAAGTCAGCCATGTCGACAACCCTCCACTGACTTACCGTCGTCAACAGCACATCCCTCGCTGAAGTCGGTGTTTTCTTTGAGCGATCTGACTCTCACTGTATTAGATCGCTGTCGATATCATCGGATAGTGCACCTAAGCCCGAGGTAGAGGCAAGACATGAATCGCGACACACCTGACAGGGTATGTATGCGCGGGAGGAGGCCGATGAAAGGAGGAGACGGGCCAATAAGTCAGATGCAGACCAGCTTTTCGACTTTGCGCACCATCGAATTTCAATCTTTGCCCATCCGTTATCGTTTCCCCGCAGCAGATTTTCTGCCCCTAGATGTTCCAAAGCCCATCACCACGTCTCGTCGACCTGAAATTCAGCGTAGATTGGCTCAATCCGAGATGTCAAGTCGTCGTCGTCAAATCACCAAGTCCACCCAGAGCACAAGGATTCGCGCTGGCCAGCAACACATGCATGCCGCATTGCATGCCGCAAACAGTTGTCATCGGATGCTGCACCCAGCATGACTGGTGCTTGTGACTGCCACATTCGGTTTTCTTTGTTCCGTCCAAATTCCAGTCTTTCTTTCAACTCTCTAATCGCCTGTTCCTGCATGTCGTCCTCAGCCGTCGGAACTTGGTCAACATATCATACGTCGGTATCACGTCTTCGACACCTCAACCGAGACAATGACGGGGTGAAGTCGCCTCAACCCAGATCGATGCCGCACGCCAGAAGCGACGTGTAAGCGAGGTCGCTTCTTGTTTGTCGGGTTCATCAGACTAGCTGGAATTAGCCAAACCTTGGCTTCTGATCCCGGGACCATCCTGAACTTCTGCACTCCTCCCTCCCACCCCTTCTCCACAGGTTCCGTGTACGCGGTTCTCCATGGCAGAGATAGACCCCTCCTCCTTCAGCGTGGGTAGTCTACATGTAGTATGCCGCTTTGTTTCGTCATTCGCGGCTGAGGCGCATGTGGTCGACAACTCCGTTCCCTTGCGCACGCCATTACGCTTCTCCAATTCGATATCATTCTGCACCTAAACTAGCTTCTTAATACACTCTCATCAGTGTCAATTTCTGTCTGTACAATTCGGCAACTCCAACCACTGATGGCGGGCTGAGCATCCCTTTCGGACGTTTTCCATCCATGTAATATCCAAATGAATCCTAGACCCCCCTTCCTGTGATGGAACACCCTCCTCGTCAAAGTTCCGTTCGGGTGTCCCCGTCCCTGGCCACTCACACCCAGAGATCCCATGTTTAAACCCCGCTGCTATGCTCCCGCGAGGCCATCCTGGCACGGATACCGTCTAATACCAGGTGCTGGGGATACACAGGTAACCGATGGGCCCTCTCACCGAGCCCCTTTTCCTTTCGCTTCTTGTTTCCGACGCTACCAGGATCGCTTGGAGTGAGCTCCTCGATTCAAGCTCTTGCCTTAGTGGAGGGATCAGCATGCCCCTAGCCGAGCACTTGCCCTGCCTCGACCCGACCTATCTCTGATCCCTGATACATATAGGCTTCGCTTTGAGGTTTGTACAAAAATGTGGCTTTCGGAAACTTCGCAAGTCTGTGATCCTCCTCATCGTATCACGACCTGAATCTCGCACCACCTCACACACCCTCCCCTCCCCATCCCCTTCAACATGGTGGTGCCCAAAAGACCTGGTGTTGTCCAACAAAGAACGCCGAGTTATTCGGTCAGGGAGGGCGCGGAGAGCGCTCTGGTTGCCCTCGTCTCCGCGTGTCAACGACAGCTTCCTCCTGAATTTGTCGAGCACTTGCGAAACGTTACCTTTAGTACGCCACTTGGGGACACAACATTCTTCCCATGTCCCCTGAAGGAACAGGAGGCCACTGCCTCCATCAAAGCCCTCGAGGGCATGGCCGCGGCCGCCATCGCCGACTTGAGGTACGGGCAGGCTTCAAGAGATATAGATGTTGACCTTGCGCGCACTGCTTGTTTCCTGATATCGGCTTATTTAACTACCGTTGATGGCATGGACAAAGCCCATCCAAATGTCAAGTCGAAAATACCAGGTATGTCGTCATACTAAACAACGAAAGCTCACCCGCTAACATTCGGCAGACACCGACTTGAACCAGGCGCAGTCAATTCTCTACCGGCGCCTATCAGCCAACCTGTATGAGACAAAAACTCCGGGAGAGTACTACCACCTTCATGGATCCCTCGAGGCTAGTAAGGCCCTCAACATGATAGGCCTCCCGGCCTTCAAACCTGACCTCCAAAGCTATGGCGAGTGCATCAAAACCATCGAGACCGCAATGAAGCGTTTCACGGTCGAGGAGCTTGAAGAGATGAACTGTAAAGAAGGCCAAGCCGGCGTCCCCGTCCTCAAAAAGGAGCAATTCCTCGATACGCCACACGGCACAGCTCTACAATCTCTTTCTCCTTTCACAATAAAGCCGGCCGAAACGACCACCCCACCAGTTCCCTTTGAGTCTCAAAACAGCCATCTCGGCCCCGAGCAGTGTCTCCGCGGAGTTCGCGTCCTCGAGCTCTGCCGAGTAATAGCCGGCCCCACCATCGGCCGCTCTCTCGCAGCCCACGGCGCCTCCGTTCTCAAAGTGACATCCCCGCAACTTCCCGACGTCCCCTTTTTCCAGGTGGACGTCAACACCGGGAAGCACACCGCCTCACTGCATCTTAAGGATACCAAAGACCGTGAAACGTTCGATGCTTTGCTTGCGAGCGCAGACGTTCTTCTTGATGGCTATCGCCCGGGTGTCATTGACCGTCTAGGCTACGGTCCAGATCAGCTCGCTGCCATCGCTGCGAAACGCGGTAAGGGGTTTGTCTATGTGGCGGAGGACTGCTTCGGAGGGACGGGACTCGGAGAGGGCAGGGCAGAATGGGCCGGCCGTCCTGGTTGGCAACAGATTGCGGACTGCGTCACAGGCGTGGCATGGGAGCAGGGCCACTTCATGGGCCTCGACGCGCCCGTCGTCCCGCCGTTCCCAATGTCTGACTACGGCACGGGTGCACTGGGTGCCGTTGCTGCCATGGCCGGGCTGTATCGAAGGGCCACGGAGGGCGGGTCGTGGGTTTGCAGGACGAGCCTGTGTCAGTATGATGTCTTCCTGCTTTCGCTTGGGGCGTACTCGCCGGAGGTGCAGGCTAAGCTGCGCAAGTTGCATGATTCTGCGTTCTTTGACCTCAAGCATCACGACTCGGTGGATGAGGTTAGTAAGAGAGCCCTGAGGAGTGTGAAGAAGCTTCATCCTGGGTTGTTTTCGAAGGACATGATGCACTCTGCATATAGCGAGGGGTTTGACGCCGAGGTGAGGTGGCCCAGGGAGGCCGTTAGTATTGAGGGGGTTAAGGTAGGGCATCTCCGGGCTTCGAGACCTAATGGAGCTGACAGGCCAACTTGGGAAGATTGGGAAGTCCAACCTGACATTGTCCGGGTGTAATCAGTTGGGCTTCCGAAGAACCTAGGAATAAGATTTCGAGAGTGAATAGAAATGTTCAACGGAGGTCCCCGCGTATATTCATTCTTGGTTTCTAGTCATTTCATGAACGGACACTATTTTTGATACGATGTGACGATACCAATGCCGTCAGATAGGTGCTTTCTACCGCTTTCGGCATTTATACATTCGGTTAAGATAACATATCGGAATCCATCCAACCAAGATCGGGGTGAATATCCCCAGCCTCCAGAGAGGCATAACCCCATATATCGCTGTGCTTCATTGCTAGATCTCCAATTTGCATGCTCTGATCTGGACTGGTCAACATGACTTTCAATGGCCCGGACTCTCCTAAATCCTCCCGTTTTGCCAAGTGTTCGAGAACGGAGGCTACCTGGTAAACATCTTGTTGCCAAGGATCATGTTCATACCAGGAGATGCCATCAATGATGCAGAATATGGTCTTTTGAGACGGAGTCTGCTTGGCGATCTCGACGAAAACCTTGCAGAGAACATAGCATTCTCCGCGACGGCAGGCCTCCAACATTTTCTCGGACAAGAAGCCTAGATCGGGTGGAGGCAATTTCGGGCTCTTCAGAAGCTGGGCTATGAGGCTCCTCATCATAGCTGCTGGTCCTGTGTTAATATCCTCCGATTCAGGTGTGTCAGTATGAAGTCCCGCGAAGAAAAACACCACCGCTGAGTCTTCGTCTTCGAGAAGAGCCGTGATCAACCCACCGCAGATGGCCGAGAGCGGAGACACAAACTCCACAAACTCGGGTTCCAAGCATCCATCCACGAGCAGTAAAGATGAACCATCTCGGCGAAACCATTGGCGGAACTCATCGGTCTCAAACAGCCATTGCGCTTTCCCTCTCCCCGCTGGATCAAGACTTTCAGCCTCCTCCATGACTAAATTCATATCGCCTACTGAGCTGTCCGCAGGTACCTTAAGAGCAGCAAGTAGATGGACCGACCCGAAGGAATGGGCGTGTTCTTGTCGAAGACTGTTGTTGGATAGGCGGCTGCGTAGTGTCGCATTATCAACACTGAGATGAACGTTTTCTGTTTTTGCGTGGTTAATCTCTTGAGGGGAAATGTGTTGCGCATAGCTGTGCTTACTTTTGTGCACGGCTCGGTAGAATTCTCTATCTTTAGAGAAATGCGCTCGCTCGTTTTGTATGGACTGCCGCTCTTGTTGTAGCTGGCTTTCTTTTTGCTGCAGCTGACTTTCTTTCTGCTGCAGCTGAGTCTCCTTTTGCTCCAGCTCACTCTCTTTTCTTCTGAAGGCCTCCATCTGCTCCTCCTTTACTCTTCTCAGGTTCTCCAAATCCTCTTTTTTCTCTCTTCTCATATCCTCCAGGTGATCCTTTGCTACTGAAGCTACACCCGCAGCGATATTGTTGGTGTAACGGACCTCGACCAATAAGGCATTCTGGTCGTTTTTGATGCTCTGAAGGATGTCATTTTGCATCGCTTGGCTTTTTGCAAACAGAGTCCGGATTCCTAGCTCTGCAGTCTCCCATTTGTCGCTCAGATCTTTCAGATCTACCGCAAATTGAGAGAGTATCTCTAGTTTCATCCGCTTTACGTGCTTCTCCAGACGCACAACTTCCTGCTTCCATCGCGCCAGGATTTGGTCAACCGTAGAGGTCTCAGGAATTCTGAGTAGAAGATGTGCGACCACTTTTTGGTACCCTATGATGAAAGTTATCATTAGTCAGAGTTCAGCGATTGATGTCTAAGTCAAAATTCGTCCTGGGATTCTCACACGGCTCATTGCCTAAGAGGATCTTGACAAGAACTGGAAGATCTTCGAGAAGCATGCTGATGATTTCGGTACAGAGACTTTTGTCCACAGAAGCCGGCTTGAGTAGGTCGAAGGCCATGTTGATTGTCAAAATGCTTTCGGGGACTGTTTCGAAGGTTTCAAGTATTCGACTTCTGTTGTCTTCGTGTGCCTTTGTTGCCTAGGGATCGTGTGTCAGCAACTATTTCCGTCCCCGCGAAACTAAACATTATTCTAGAAGATGAGGCTATACATCAAAAATGAGAGCAAGCCCGCCCTTCAGTATTCCAATGCCGTACTCATCCGGCAAAGCATTGACATATCCGGACATTAATTCGGCGCTGTCAGCTACCTTAGAGCTGATCCCTCTTTTCTTGTCGTGCTGTTGCTTGGCCGCAGCCATTTGCTCAAAGACATTGTCCCAGGAAAGATTCCCGACCCCATAACTGGCTGGCAAATCTTCATCGTGAGCAGCGATAATCGTCTCCAAGTCCCTGTACGTCTGAGTGTGCTGTCATAGAGATTTTGGGCAAATGGACACACTTTGTTCCCAAGTTACTTTGAGAATGATATCTCTCTGTGTCAGTATCATACTGTAATGGTCTCGGGGGCGCTTTGCGAACACCGCTGAACCGGTCCTGAAAGAATTTTTTGAATGAGTTCGGACTTGTTGACCTACTCCTGGTCTTTGACTGCCGTAACGACCGATGACAAATCGGGATCTCGGGGAATTTGTTGACTACGTCCATGGTCAAGGCCAAGTTGGGTAGTCTAAGTGGCCATGTGAGAAATACAAACGTTGACCGAAAGCTAAAAGAGCCCGGGTAGTGCTGCTACGGCTGGAGTGCTGAACTTAAGGAGACGTTGCCAAGATGGTTCTTTTCGGGTCTGAATCGCGGCTTAGCTGATAGCTCAAATTCCGCGGCTCCTCAACAAGATGATTTGCCTGATTCCGCGTTGACCTCGGGCAGCCTCGTTCCTCAACGACGATTGAACCAATAAACCATGTACTCTGCGGGGTTGTCGCCCGACCTGATAAGGCTCCTGCTTCTAAGAATATCCAGAACCCGATTTCAGGCCGCGAAGTCCGAGGAACACGTCACATATTTCTCTTCGTTCGTAACATCTGCTCCAACGGATAAGCGCCAAGGCCCAGCCTGCCGCAAAATCGGATGATGACCGTTTTGGCTGCAGCTGGGAGGGTGAGAAACCTGCAATGTAACCATGACAAGGCTGTGAAAGACTCTCGATTAAGAGCGAATTGCTGTCAGTTCTACGGCACGTGGGTCTCTCATCGAGAAAGACCGGCCTATCTATGACCTTTGACTCTCTGACATTCATCTCTTCTATCAGTTCGATTTATCCCACCACATCACGCCCATCAACGCACTCAAGCTCCAAGTTCATCGTCATAGCCGTCAACGGGGATAATCTCACACGATGGGAGAAGATCCTATTGCTTCTGAGGCAACCCCTCCAGCCTCTGGTCCGGATCCTGTGGCTGATGGCACGAAGAACGATATTTCAGATGGCGCAACGAAAGATTCTACGAAAAACCCCGTGCCTCCCAACACGGAAGTACCCAAAGACAGTGCTGATGCCAGCCAAGGAGGACCGCCAATCCCTGTCTACCTTCCTCCAGGAAGCAATGAGCTACCGGTTGAAGAAAGGGTGGCAAAGCCTGGCGTTCGATACTACAATTATCAAGGTTTCGTGAACCGGCTGGATTCAGATGGAGAAGATTTTGGCATTGAAGTCCTCGTCACAGGAACTGACTGGCATGAGGAGGTCTCAATCGAAACCCACAAGAGATGGGAACCCTCGCCCCCTCCTCCCCCTCCGGTTCCGGCACAGCCTCCGACAACACAGCAGCCTGAACAGCCAACAGTCGATGTTACGGACGCGACACCCAAACAACCATCACCACCACTGCATGTGGAGAATCCGAGCACTGGCTATGTTCCGTATTACATTCGAAACAGAGTATCTGAGTACCTTGCGGCAGATCCACTAGAGAAAAAGTACTCCTTCAGCGATAAGATTGAGTTTTCATCGGGCTCTGAAAGTATTCTCGAAGGACGTATCATGCGTGTCAGAATCCGAAGCCCGAAAATCATGGCCGCTCTTGGAGCCGCCTCAGGTTGCAGGCAGTTGTCAAATGACAAGTCCGTGTTTGAATTTCATCGCCCGTTTCGAATCATCGAGGAATGTCACAGCGAGATGAAAGAGAAGCTGGCCGAGATGGAGAACATACACTTTGCATCTGCCTCATCAAGCGACATAGCCCTAGCTGAGGATATTACCTTGGCTAGTCACGAACCAGCTTCTCCAGCAGAATCACCTAAGGCCACAACCGAGCTGACTCCGGACGAAGTGGCGCCGGAGGGGAAAGAGGAAGGCTTGCAATTCACGATGGAGGATGTGGAACACATGAGGCAATATGTCGGCTTTGTGGAAAAGGCCATTCTTCCAATTCGTGAGACATTCCAATATGTGGAACAAAAGACGCCTCCACGGGTGTGTTTCGAAGACATACCATATCTGTTCAAACCAGGAGCGCTGGTTATCGTGACAGAGAAAGCCAGATCTGGCAGAACGCTTCACCGGTCTGCCGTTCAACGGATATGGAGACTGGTTTCGTGCCAACCTTCCGATGTTCGAACAGGGACGCATTATGAAGAAGATGATGAAGGCAACGAATACACGACCACGACATGGAGCATGTACAGTCTCGACTATGATGGAGAGATACTAGTGCCTGTATGGAAGTCCTTTCGGTTCTTACGATTCGACGGGGAACGGGACATCACTTCTTTGGGGTGCTACCCACTGGAGTTTGACTCTAAGGGTGCCAAAATCCTTGAAGAGCAAAAGGTCTCAGGCGAAAGATTCAAATCATGCCTGACTGGAAAGTGGAAGCATTTTTTCTACTTGGGATGGACTTTTATTACCGGCCTTCGTGGTGAAGTCCTAGAAGATGAGAAAGGCAACTTCATCCAGCATCCGGAGTATATCGAGAGCGAGATTGTTGTTGACTTCAAGGAAACACTCCAGAGCTATCCTGGATGGGAAACAGAACAACTAACCCAGTCGCTCGCGCGTAATAATTGG